GTATTTGGATTTCTTGGGATTTTGACAGGATGTCTCGAGCGAAACGCTTGTTTTTCATAATTTGTTGAGGATGTCTCGAGCGAAACGCTGGTTTTGCAAAATTGGAGGATGTCTCGAGCGGTGGCCTCGTGGGGGGCCAGAATTCAAAGGATGTCTCAGGCGAAATGCTTGTTTTCACGTCCCGCTCGCAGGAATTCCGAGGATGTCTCGCGCGTGCAGCGTCCCGCGCGTAGGAATTCAGATGATTTTGACAGGATGTCTCGAGCGAAACGCTTGTCCCCAGCACGTTCCGTAGCGCGTCCCCTTGGCAGGTCCCGCGATGCGTCCCCATGGCACGTCCCTTGGCACGTCGCTTGGCGCGTCCCTTGAGACGTTCTGCGTCGCGTCCTCCTGGCATGTTCCCCTGTCCATTAGCTCTGGGGCAGCTACTATGTGTTCAGGCAGCTCGAGCTTAAGATCCAGATCAGTTCGGTCAGGACTCGGATGCAAAGGAGGACTCGATCCACGAGGCTATAGAGCACAATCGCGCCATGGCACATCGCAATTCAGCACGGCGCAGCACAGCACTGATTTCGGCACGGTACATCAAGGTCGATGCACTCAGCATTGCAACTTGGCACGTTCCTTGGCACGTTCCGTGGGGCGTCCTTTGGCGAGTCCCCCTGGCACGTCGCGTCGCGCGTCCCCTGGCACATCCCGTGGCACATCCATTGGCACGTTCCGTAGCGCGTCCCCTTGGCACGTCCCGCGGTGCGACCCCATGGCACGTCCCCTGGCACGTCGCCTGGCGCATCCCTTGGGACGTTTCGCGGCGCGTCCTCCTGGCATGTTCCCCTGTCCATTAGCTCTGGGGCAGCTACTATGTGTTCAGGCAGCTCGAGCTTAAGATCCAGATCAGTTCGGTCAGGACTCGGATGCAAAGGAGGACTCGATCCACGAGGCTATAGAGCACAATCGCGCCATGACACATCGCAATTCAGCACGGCGCAGCACAGCACTGATTTCGGCACGGTACATCAAGATCGATACCTTCAGTATTGCATTTGCCCGTTACCCAATCAGGTGTCTTTGAAAACGCTGCCATGTATTACAGTTCTACATTCCTTTCCGGGTTCGTGGGTCGATCATGTTTGCATGGGGCGCTCATGCAGCTCTGCGACTCGCGTGGAGAAGGGGCTGGATGCAGTCAGCCCGCATAGCAAGCACGGGCGGCCTTCTCAAGGATACCCTGGCATCCTTGCCTCCTCGGCCCATCCCAGGCCACTTTCGTGGGCCGCGCCCCGCTCGAAGAGCTTCAGAACGGCTGTCCAAGGCCCTAGCATCCTATCGTGCACCCTGATGGTACGTGTTGACCGTATTCGCCTCGCGTGGAGAAGGGGCTGGGCTTGAAGCTCGCTGAGGGGCAGCGAACGCGATCTGTGTTTCTGGGGCGACGGAGGAGAGGGCAATGCTTTTGTAGGGCAAGAGCAAGCATGAACAGCCCAATCGTGGGCAAGAGCAAACCTGAAATCAGAGCTTCTCGCGAAGGGCGGCGGCAAGGACTGCTGTTGACCGATCAAGCGCGCCCGCCGAGCGTACGGGGATCTGGCCCTGGAAACAACGCTGCCCCCCCAGCGACCTTCAAGGCTGGGCACGCATCGGTATAATCTCAGCGCGTCCGTTCCCATCTTGCTTTGGTCGGCGCGGCCCGCCGCTGTGGCCGCGGAAGGGGGTGCGGAGACGCGCGCGGGGCACCACGTCGGAGGGCTGCGCCGCTGGGGAAGTGCTGCCGCCCAGGCGTGCCAAGGCGGAGGCCGGGGAGCCAGGATCCTAGCCCAGGCGAGCAATAGCGCCTTGGGCCAAACATCTAGGAAGGGAGAGAGATAGAGAGAGAGAGAGGGAGGGAGAGAGGGAAGGAGGGAGAGAAGGAGAGAGAGAGAGAGAGAGACAGAGAGAGAGAGAGAGAACACAAACGAAAAAGAGATAGAGAAAGAAAGAGAGAGAGAGAGAGAGAGAGCGTACTTGCGACCACGGTCACAATGAGAGAGTATCTAGTGGCAGCCCATCCTGTGCCTGGGTTGTAGGTCAGAGGCACTTGGATGCCTGTGGGGAACTCTTAGGAGGCCTCTTGGAAGCCTCTTGGAGGCGGTTGGAGAGTGTCTTGAGGCCTCTCGGGGGTCTTCGGGGGGTCCTCGGGGCTTCTTTTCCGCTTCTTGGGGGCTTCATGGGGCCTCTTGGGGGCTTCTTTGGGGCATGCTGGCGGTTTCGGCGCTCCTCTTGGGGCGGAGGGCGCGACATGTCAGTTCAATTCCCCCTCTTAGGGGCCGTCTTGGCGGCCTCTTGGCGGCCTCTTGGGCCGTTTGGGGGGCCTTTTTGGTCGTCCTGGAGCGTTGGAAGCCCGGAAAGGCGAGAACGTTAAAATCCTTTAACAACCCGCTGGACTTTAGTGATTCAGGCCTTTCAGGGCCCTCGGGGTGGCCTCTTGGAGAACTCTTGATGTGTCTTGAGGGCCTTTGATGCCGTCTGGATGCCATGTTGGGCATCTTGGAGCGATCTTCTGGCGGCTCGGGGCCCTCTTGGACCGTCTTGGGAGCCTCTTGGGGCCCTTTTGGCCCATTGTGGGGCACTCTTGGAATCGTTCTGGGCTTCCCTCGAGCTCGCCCAGCACGCGCCGGCACAGTCCTAGAGCTCCCAGGAACTGTCGGCACAGCCCGCGATATTTTGGCACACTGGACGGTGGCGGATCAACTAGAGCTTAGAGGGTTCATAGCAGAGATATGGCAAAGTTATGTAGAGAGACGACCCTGTGATGCACGGTATAATTAAGTATGTATGTGTATATATATAGAGATATGTATGTTCGCTGTGCCTTGTGTATATATATATATATATATATATATATATATATAGAGAGAGGGACCGTATAACGTACAGACACTATATTACATTTATCACATTGGGAAGCGATGCTATATTCAGTAAACAGAGCAAGTATGACAACGTAAGCATAGGTGTATGCATATGTACGTATGTACACACATCTGCGCAGCTTTACACATATGTATGTACTGGCCTTCGGCCCAGCCCGCCACCGTGCCTGGGTTCTGGTTCAGATTCCTTCTGGATGCCTCTTGGGGTCTCTTGGGATGCGTCTCGGAAGCCTCTTGGAGGCAGTCGTGAGTCCTCTTGGGGGCCATTTTGGGCCTCTCTTGGTCGTCTTCTGGGCCTCTTGGGAGCTTCCTGGGGCCTCTTGGAGGCCTCTTTAGGGCATGCTGGCGGTCTCGGGGTCCTCTTGGGGCGGAGGGCTCGAAATTGTCAAGTTCGTGTTCTTCTTTTGGGACCCGTCTTGGGGCGTTTTTGGGCCCCTCGTAGGGACGTTTTTGGGGCCCTCTGGGCCGTCTTGGAGGCCTCTTGGGCCATCTTGGGGCCCTCTTGGCCCGCCTCTTGGGCCGTCTGGCAGCCATCTTGGTGGCCTCTTGGGTCGTCTTGGAGCGTCGGACGGCCGTAGAGGCGAGAACACTGAAATCCTTTGAAAATCTATGGCCTCTCGGGGCCCTCTTGGACGTGCTCTTGGGGCTTTCCTGAAGCGTGTTCGAGGCCTCTTGGCCCATCTGGAGGCCATCTCGGGCCGTCTTGAAGCTGCCTGGAGCCGCTCTGGGGCCTTCTTTGGCCATCTGTGGCGGTTCTGGAGACTCTCGCGAGGACTCGTGAGGTCGCCAAATGCCAGCTGGGGATCCAGGAGTTCCCCGAAGTCCTCAGTAGCTCCTGGAAGCTCCATATATATACACATATACATACATATGTATATATATATACACATATATATATATATATATGTATATAAGTAGCTCCTGGAAGCTCCCAGGAGCTCCCAGGAGCTCTTGGAAGCTTCCGGAAGCTCCCGGAGCAGTGTAAAGAGCCGGGGGTACAGGCCCTGGAGAAAAGTGCAGTCCCTGCACCTCTCGGGGCTGCAGGAGCCCGCAGGGGCCCCAGGGGCACTCTTGGGCCCCTTCTTGTTTTCCGTGCTGGAGGCGCGGTGGCGGATATAGATGAACAGAAGCTCCCGGAGGGGAGGGGAGAGAAAGAGAGAGAGAGAGAGAGGGAGAGAGACATGCACGCCCACTCACATACTTTTTATATTGATACACGTATATATATATATATATATATATATATATATATACACATCTATAGTTGTATGCATAAGAGAGAGAGGGAACAACTGATCGATGTGTGTGTGGGGGAAGGGAAGAGAGAGAGAGAGAGAGAGAGCGAGATGTATCCAGATATAACCGAGATATGCATACAGTAAGAGGGAGAAGTATGTGCGTAGGTATGTATATCTGTTTATGCTCAGAGAGAGAGAGAGAGAGAGAGACAGAGAGAGAGAGAAGGAGAAGAAAAAACGAGAGAGAGAGAGAGTGTGTGTGTAAAACGTACAGACTAGAGAGCAGATGGACAACAACACAGTCAGTTAGAGAGTCGTGCGTCAAGCAACATATCGCGGCAGGCCGACGTGGAGTAATTGCAACAGTGCCAGCACATCTGCGGAGTTGGGCTTCTCTCTTGTGGAATTCGGCGTTTCGATGTGTTCGACGATATTAGCTGGCTTTCCTTGTGCTTCCTGGCGGCGACAAGGATTACTCGGTAGATTTCGCAGACCCAGGCTGCTGGTTGAGAAAATGAGTTCGGCTGCTTCAGCCTTCTTAATGTAAGGCTGTCCTAACACTCAGTCGGGGTGTATCCATGAGAGGCCATGTGAACCAGGTTCGTCTCTCCGTGGTTGTTGGCCATCCTTGGTGAGCCTGCAGGTGTGCCTGTGTGTTGCAGAGCCGTCTGATCAATTCGCTTGCCCGCTGCTGCATGCCGTGGCAGTCCCCGTCGCTTGCCCGCTGCTGCATACTGTAGCAGTCCAGGGGCTCGAGAAGCACGTGGAGAAGTACCGCAACAGCCCCGTTATGCACGAGAGCGTCGGCCACGAGGCGAGGCCCATCCTCATGCAGGACGGCAAGCGCGTGCCGGTTCCCCCTGGGGCCTCACCGCGCGTGCCTGGCACACGCAGAGTGGTCCTGCCCATTGCTCCCTCCTCCCCCTCCCCCTCCCTCCTGCCCATGGTCCTTCCTTCGCCCCCCCCTCCCTTCCTTTTTCCCTCCTCCCCCCCCTCTCCCTTCCTTCTCCACTTCTCCTCCCCTCTCCCCGTCCTCCTCCCCCCCTCCGCTCTCCTCGCCCCTGCATCCTTCTTCCCGAAGCGTTGCAAAAAAAGCAGGATTGCAAAAAAACCCAGGATTGCAAAAAAAACCCTTGAACGAAGGATTGCAAAAAAAAACCGAAGGAAGGATTGCAAAAAAAACCCGTTGCAATCCTTCGTTGCAATCCTCCTGTCTCCCGGCCTTCTCTCGCCTCTTCCCCAGCCTCTCTCTCTGGGGGCAGGAACGGGGAGCGCGAGCGAGCGCAGAGGAGCGAGGAGCGAGGAGAGGCGGGAGCGAAGAGGGAGGGCTGGAGGTCCACTTGGCTCCTCCTTGTCCTCCTCCTCCTCGTCCTCCTCCTCCTCCCTCCTCCTCCTCCTCCTCCTCCTCCTCCTCCTCCTCCTCCTCCTCCTCCCGCCCCTTCTTCTTTCTTCGGTTGCCCTGACATTGCCCGGTGAGGCGCCCCGTCAGCCCTCCTCTTCGGGCTCCCTCCGCCCCTGTCTCTTATACATAAGTCCTCCACGTTGCGCCCCGAGCCTGGTCGAAATACGGGCTGGGCGTTTCGCCGGATGCTTCCTTACATGTATGACCCTGGAGCTCAGTAATTCGCAACAGCTGCAATGATGGAGGACGGGTCGTTTTCAAATTGTGGCTCTCGCTTCAGCGCCGCGCACTTTCGTCGTAAAGTTTGCAAGACTGTCACGGATCGGGTGCAGACCGTTTGCAAAGCGTGGTTGACGCCCTAACGCCGCGCACATGGTTTTTCAATTTTTTCAGGAGCTTCGCGGATGGAGGGCGGCCCGCTTTCAAAATGTGATTTTCGCCGTAGGGCCGCCCACATTCGTCTTGAAAGCGTGCAAGAGCTTCACTGATGGAGGGCGGTCCGCTTTCAAAATGTGGTTTTCGTTTTAGCGCCGCCCACATTCGTTTTGCAGTTTGCAAGAGCTTCGCTGATGGAGGGCGGCTCATTTCTCAAAATGCGGCTCTCGCCTTAGCGCCGCGCACATTCGTCTAAAGAGTTTGCAACAGATGAAGGATTTGCATGGGTCACGTTCCAGAACTTGTGTGTTTTTACACGATGTCGGAATGTCAGGGCGCAACGGTCAGGTGTATTCGCTGTGTTGAAGTCGCAGAAATGGTGTCCTGGCATGGTTCAGGGTCGTCAAGCCGCAACACTAAACGTGATTTGCGGCGTTGAAATCCTTGCGGTGTTCTGGCGCAGTTCCGGATTTTAAAACGGTTGTCTTCCAACAGGGCACTTCTTTCTGTGAAAATGAATCCTTGTAGGGGAAGCGAGGATGGAACTTTCAGGGGGGATGTATGGCAATACCCTTGACGAGTTTGGGGTTTACAGTGGTCTTCTTCCTCCTCCTCCTCCTCCGCCTACTCCTCCTCCTCCTTGGCCCTCGATGTGCAGATGGTTTTGTCTCAAGCCTCGTCCCGCTTGGCCGCGCCCGCGCTCCCCGCGTCGCCGCTGCTGCCGCCGACGCAGCAGACTCGCGGTGCCGCGCCGGTCGATGCCGCCTGCGCTGCCCGCGATCGCGGTGCGTGCGCCGTTGGGCTGTCGGGCGGCGCGGCTTGTCGTAGGGCGACTCGCCTCATGCCCGCGCCGCCGAGGGCCTCCTTCGCTCTGCCTGCCGCCGTCCTCGTGGGGCGCCGCCTCCGCCCGTGTCCCGATGGTCGCCGCCCCCCGCCCTCGGTGGCGCCCGCGGCATATGCCGCGGGCGCGGCCGCGTGCACGGCCCTGCCGGCGGCAGCGACGACGAGGTGTGGAGGCCGAGGAGGACGCGGCAGCTGTGGCAGCTGAGGCGGGCGGCTCCCCTGCTCCGCCGTCGCCCCCTCTACCCTGGCATCGCTCGGACGTGTGCATTTTTTTCTCGGCGAGGACCCTCGAGGAGCATCCTGGATCATTTGGCGAAAAAGCCACGCACGAAACCGAACAAAAACACAGAGAGTGGACGTCCGAGCGATGGCGAGTACAGTCGGGGCCCTGAAGAAGGAACCCTTTTCGTTGGGCAGGGGCTCCGCGTTCCTTATGTGTTTCGCAGCTTGCCTGAGGTTTTCCTCACGTTTTCGATCGGAAATCGAAGTTTAATTCTTGACGCTTCGCGTATCCCCACCAGCCCATCCTACACCAGGCGCTCGAACGAAGAGCGCCGATGATCGGCAGCTGTTCTCCTCCCCCTCTTCCTCCTCCTCCGCCTTCTCCTCCTCCTCTTCTCCTCCTCCTCCCTCACCTCCCCCTCCTCCTCCTCCTCCTCCTCCTCCTCCTCCTCCTCCTCTTCCCTGGTGGCGTCTTGGAAGTGTCTTCGAGCGTTTTGGTGGGCTCTTGGGCCTGGCGGGCCGGCGGGCGGCGCTCCGCCCGCCCGCGCGCAGGGCCTCTAGAGGGGGTCCAAGACGTCTCTCGGAGCCATCTTGGAGGAGACCGATCAACGAGGGGGGTTCCTAAATTTCAGCCCCCCCCTCAGGAGCCACGATCCTCGCGAAGGGGTGTCGAATTTTAGCCCTCCCAGGGGGTCGTTCTTGGACGCTCGAACTACCCGCGGCCCCCCCTGTCCAGGTCAGTGGGGAGGGGGTATGGGGGAGGGGCAAACCCCTCCCCGAAGGGGAAGGAGGAGGGGTGGAAGAGGAAACGCTCTAAACCACCGACGCCCAGAGGGCTGGTGGGACTCATGGAAAAAAGGGGCCTCGTCCCTTATTTGGGGTTCCTTAGGTCAAGGCCCCGACTGTATACCGGACGACTCGGGGGCCGCCGGGCTGCCCTCGCGGCGGAGGGCGGCCACGGCGGCGCCGCCGGGCGGCGCCCCTCCTGGCGGGCGGGCGCCGCGCCCACGGCGGCGCGGCTCTCGGCGTGGCTCCCGGCGACCTTTGGGTGCCCCTCCTCCGTGAGGGTCTGGCCTGCGCCCTGGTCCTCCACCACGAGGGTTCTGTCCGGCGTGTCCCCCCCTACAGGGGGATTTCCGACGAAAAATGAAAAATACCCCAAAAAGGCCAAAAGATACTTAAAACATACCCCGGACCACTTTTGGAGCATTTTTGGATTATTTTGAAGGTATTTTTCATTTTTCGTCGAAAATCCCCAGGGGCCTACAGGGGGATTTTCGACGACAAATTGAAAATATTACCAAAATGCCAGCAAAAAATAAATTTATTCACTGCGTGGAGCTCCCCATATGTGCATCTATTCGCATGGACCTGTCCGCCGTGAATGTCTAGGCGCAAGAGCTTTCGAAATACACGGGCTTCAGTTGTGACGGTCTGGACAAATCTAACTGCGAATGAATTGGAGTGTGAATGAGCCTCAGTAGTACGAGCGCGTCTTTGTGCATGAGCCTGGGGCCTCCTGGGGCCTCCTGAAACCTACTGGGGCTTCCTGGGGTCTCCAGGAGCCTCTTGGGGCCTCCTGGGACCTCCTAGGGAGGTTTCGTGCCCCAGGAGAGGCGCAATATATAGCAACAGACGTACATAAAACATTGCGGATTAGAGCCACAGGAGAAGGGCAATCTATAGGAACACGCGTAAAACACCAAGGACTCGTGCCCCAGGAGAGGCCCAATATATATATATATATATATATATATATATATAGGAACATAAGTAAAACATGTAGGATTGTGTACACAGGAGAAGGACAATCTATAGAAACATACGTATAACATCAAAGAATCGTGCTCCAGGTGAGGCCCAATCGATAGGAGCATACGTAAAACACATGGGATTGGAGCCACTCCTGTTGCCTTCTGAGGCCTCCTGCTCCTGGGGCCTCTCGGGGCCTCCTGTTGCCTTCCGAGGCCTCCTGGCGCTTCCTGTTGCCTCCTGGGGCCTCCTGTGGTTTCCTGAGGCCTTCTGGAGCTTCCTGGGGCCTCCTGGAGCCTCTTGGGACATCCTGTGGCCTCTTGAGTCTTTATGTGGCCTCCTGATGCCTCCTGGGACCTCATGTGGTCTCCTGGGGCCTCCTGGAGCCTGTTGGAGCCTCCTGTGGCATCCTGAGAAGAATCTGCGCCCACGAGCCTGGCCACCAAAACAAGCAAACCGATCGAGACATCCTCAAAATCTTGCCCACCTGGGGGGTGAAAATGAGCGCCTCGCTCGAGACATCCTCCAAATCTGCTCCGAAAACTCAGGATGCTGGCACAGAAAACAAGCAAACTGCTCGAGACATCCCCACAAAATCCCGCGAAAGGGGCCGAGTGCAATACCCCCCTCCCGCTCCCCTTAGGAACGTGAAAATGAGCGCCTCGCTCGAGACATCCTCCAAATCTGTTCCGAAAGCGAAGGATGTTGGGACAGAACAGGCAAACCGCTCGAGACATCCCTACAAAATCCCGCGAAAGGGGCCGAGTGCAATACCCCCCCGCCGCTCCCCTTAGGAACGTGAAAATGAGCGCCTCGCTCGAGACATCCTCTAAATCTGCTCCGAAAGCGAAGGATGTTGGGACAGAAAACAGGCAAACCGCTCGAGACATCCCCACAAAAATCCGCGAACGGGACCGAGAGAGATACCCCCCCGCCGCTCCCCTTAGAGTGCTGAGACGAGCGAATCGCCTGAGACATCCTCAACATCAGTGTGTGTGTGTGAGTCATCCGATGAGTGGACCTGAGTGAGTGTAGTGAATGTATGAGTACAAGTACGAGTGAGTCTGAGTGATGAGTGAGTCTGAGTGATGAGTGAGTCTGAGTGATGTGTGAGTCTGAGTGATGAGTGATGAGTCTGAGTCATGACTGAGTCCGAGTGGTGCGTGAGTCTGAGTGATGAGTGAGTCAGAAGAGGTGAGGGTGTTCCTGTGTTCCTCCGGCGCGGTCTGCCAATGACAAGAACCCCGTCTCTTTGGAGA